ATATAGTTGAGATACTCTGTACGTGTATCGACTATCGTATCACGTTTATTTGCTCGTATATCTCGTAATTACATGGTTGATTCTTAACGTGATATGATGAAATTGGTATGAAGCTTATCTAACTATAACTACGTGACTTTGTAAGTACGAGAAACAAAAGTGCCACAATGACTCAGTAAATGACGCAAGATAAATATTCACAACATTCTTTTGTCTAATATTTTATCCATACTTGCGAAAAAAAATGACCGATCGAATTAATTATTATTAAATATTAGTAAGATTTATCTGAATTCATTATAACAATTCGAACTATTTTTAATTCGGATAGTCATCGTAATTAACATCAGAATCTCATACTTCCGACTATGCCATTGTCGTCTAAACAAGAGTTTACGTTCTCACTTGAATCAGGAATTTCATTCTTCTCTTTCTTGACATTTTTGAAAGATGTTTCTGGTTGAAACAGATGCCAGACAGCAAACGCCAACGATGTATCACATGATGACGTTCGACACACATTGGCAATGACATATTTGGTGTATTATATCATACAATGAGCTGTTTTTCTTGCTAAGCTCTCGACTATCGGTGAATAAGCCGCAGTCATTTACAAATAATTTGTTCTATGTCGGTTTTTTTAGAACTAATTACGAAAGAAGTTTTTAAAAGGCCTTTCATTACAGTGGAAATTATAGTTAAAACTAAAAAAATATAAATTTTTCGTATTTTTTAATATTTTCGTACTGAAATACGTTACTGTCTTCACAAATCACAATTCAATAGAATGGTTTTATGAAATATGGCACAAAATCCTGTTTTTCGATTAATAGCTGTATATAATTGATTGTCACGTCCATTTTCACTGGGGATCGTACAATTGATTTTCTTCCATTTGTTTTGAAAGAAGCGCAAAATTACGATTCGTAAAATTTCGACGCGATGCTTTCGAAAACAAGTCACGTTCTGGCATAACATTCAGATTGATTCTTCTATTTGTCGATTTATCCTGAAAGACAACTTGTTATTAAGCAAGCGGAGAAGCTGTTAAAAAAAACATATCCTGCATCATCTCAAAATATCTACCAGCGCCTACGAAAAGCATTGTTTAAGAAGTTGCAAGAAATTGTGAAAGATTATGTTAAAGACTTTTAATATTTCTTCGTATATAATAATTTTAACCGAGCTTCTCAATATCGAAAAATATCCTGCACTTCAATCAAAACTGATAATTTTATATGTCATTATACTTATATGTATTATATATATCATTAACTTTGTCCAATATTAAAATCTACTTTTTATTTATAACGAATACATACATATTCATGTATTTTTAAGTTTTGTTAAGATAGAAATAAATATTAATGCATTATATAATCCTAAAATAATCCTAAAAATTCATAACGTTTGCAATGATGTACACATGGAAAGAACAATTTTGTTGAAATAGTTAAAAATTTAATTTGCTAGATACAGATTTAAAAATAATTTTATTGAACTATCAAAATATAGGACGTTCAAACTAATTGTTAAAACATAAAAACTTTTTGCAGTAATACTCATCATACACGTGTTTCCTATATAATTGTTTTGATAGTTCAATAAAATTATTTTCAAAAATCTGTATCTAACTAAAATTTTAAATACTTGGACAAAGTAGTTTCTTTTTGTATTATTATCATTAATGTGTCAACAATTGGATCAACAATTCAAGCGCATTTTACATTGAAAGAAATAAAAATAGTGTTACCTTTATGAAAGAGCAATTATTTTTCTTACACGTATTTTCTTGTATGACGGTTCTTTTATCTTTGGCTTTTATTTTTCATAAACTTTATCGCAACACTGAAAGTTAAAAAAGCTGTATATCATATTTCGACGTTGGACTCAGAAACTGCGCATTATGTTTGTAATTGTCGGATCCTTGTAATTATCTCTTTAAGTGCTTTACAAGCAAAGCAAAATAAGATAAATTTATCGTTCTAACAATAATATAATTAACAAATACATTTCGTAAAGCGATCGATAGGCGAAGAATGATGGAGTAAAAAACAATGAATAGTATAAAACACAAGGATCGAGCTGTGTCGAACAGCATAAAAAGCGATAACCCGACACAATAAACCAATCGAGCGTCACGAAAGTGTTCGAGCAATGACCGTGCGTAGAAATACGAATAACGGATGTGATGTAATAAGAGATGACCGTTCTGCTATTCTCAAGTGTTCGAATTAAATTGATGCATCGAATTATCAACAATATACGTTGAATCGAAGAACCCTGCGATGACACGCAATTATATGAACGAACATATGACCTAAATTGAATCCCTATTAGAAGCGAATGGATATCGAATTTTAGTAGAGAATATTAAATAACGTATATTATATAAATAAAATGTACGTAATCTAATGTTATCTACAGCTGACGTAATGAATTCGTGAAAAATATTAGCAGAAATTTATCGTTTCATACTCCTATATCAGATAAATGTCTATCTAAAGAAAATCTTAAAAAAGGATGCTTGAAAAATACAACTTTTGATATCCGAGATGATATATAATTAAATATAATTCTGCAATCTTTAACAATCAACGTATTAAACGTTTTTGCTGAGATTTTTGCGTTTTAATTGTCTAAGAAAAAATGTACATTCTATCTACGCGAATAAAAATAACAATTTTATTTATTTAACGAAAAATAGCGAAGACACAGGTCAGTGATTTCAAGACAATTGCTCTTTACAAAATGAATTGAACTGTCAACCGCAAGTTGACAGTTGTTTCGTATTAGAGTTCGTCAAGAACTATATAGATAGAACAATAGATCTCCTGGAACAGCAGCCGAATCGGTCCACAGGGACGGGTGAACCAATCGACATACAGATGCCAAATGTGCAAGGCCGAAAATGCATGACCTACATTATCGATATGCGACCTCTATTACGATAGATACGACGGGCACGATCCATCGATAGTCGGGGTATCTCGAAAACGAGGATAAATTATAATTATGATTCATTTAGAGTCTTTTAAAGTATATTGAGAACAATTTTCGGGAGCAATTACTTTGAATTGAATTATATAATAAGATTTAAATAGTAAATGTATAACACGAGTTACACTCTCACATGTTTGACCTAACAAACTTTATTGCGTCATGCATTTAATATGTAAATAATTATTTTAGAATTGCAAAGTGACATGTGCACTGTTTAAAATGTTAATGCTAAGCTCTCGACAAGATTATCAGTTCTTTGAAATGGAGATTTCATGCGTCGTATGTGTATTATTTTTTACTTTTCACGATTAGATATGACGTTTACCACAATGTTGTGGTCTAGAAATATTATATAATAACATTACATTTATATTAAAATAAATTTCTAATAAGTGAGCAAAGATCACATGTTTCGTCTTTATTCTTAATTGATAAGTTTGACTTAAACAATGCACCTTATTAAAAATAATTTATATATAGAGATTCCGAAAAATATTTAGCCAATTGAAATCGTATATTGATTTGAGTGTTTAGAGAACTACTCGCAGGTAGAGCATTACATCAAGTTTAGATTGATATTTCAAGGAAGTTATTGCATATCTATGATACAAATACAAAAGAAAGGTCATCACAGTACACCGACTATATGATTGTTGCGGTCAGTAATTCTTCCTCTCAAAAACTAATTGCGTCTTATCGACGATCCATCCGGTTTTCGTCGCGAAACGTGAAATGGAACGCCAGCGAGGCCTATCGAACGCGACGAAAGACTCGTTTCCGAAATAATTCTCCGCTCGCGCGATTTCTTTCTTTCTGAAAGAACGCTCCAGCGGCAGAGAGGCGCGGGGTACGTCGAGTACGAGGACACGCGGAGAGAATGTATGCCGCGCGCGAATTATCGACGTCGACGCGCAGGCCGTGCGTACCTCTATACCGGTGGCACACTGGCACCGAGCAGCCGATGTGCGCGATCAAGGTCGCGGCGCACCGCGCCGCGCCGCGCTACGCCGCTTGCCACGGGTAGTCGATGAGCATCGACTTCTCGACCTTCCGTAACGAAGAGGAGAGTTTTCGCGCAAAATTCTCTACCGCTGGCAGAAACGATCCATGCGCGATTGGATTTCTCTTAAGTCAGATATCTGGGATAACGTTCGCGGATACATCTGCGGATAGTGCGGATGTCTCTGTCTCCCTCCTGCTTCTCGTTAGGTTGCTTTGAACTTTTTTGTTGCCGTGAGGCCACGCTCCTTGAACGTTCCTCTGCGATATCTGAGATTTCCCGAGATAAAGGGACAAAACGATCCAGGTGTAATGTTCCTTACAGCACAAATCTTCAAGGAATGTCCTAAAGATGTCTAGAGGATATTCTGAGAACGTTCGTTCGGAATATCCCCAGAATATTCTTCGAATAGAGCGTGTTGTACGGGGTTGTACGTGTTTGTATCTTAAAAGGCGCGCAATCCTCGTCGTGCTACGATGATCGCGTGAGAGAATTAAATTTGGTGAACGTGGTCTCACAATCAGCCCATTTATATCTTTATCAGATAACGTTCGTATCTCATTAAATTTCCGACGTAATTGACTGATAATCGTTTCGACCGTATATCTTTCCTGTTGTTGTTCAACAACATCGCGTAATCGGCTCACACAGTAATCGCTTAACCCTTTGACATGGACCGCGCATGTATCACAATAGCGCGATCTAGCAATGGAATGTTAATTGCGTGTTATTCCAAGCATGTAACGCTTTCCGCGGAGTCGTGTGACTGGAAATGGCCATCCTCGCCGGATGCTTAAAACACTCCGGAAGGACGTTCGAGACTTCGATCTGCCGAACATCCGATTCTCCCGAGACTTGATGCGCCGCAATGTCGTATACGCGCCAAAAATCGGTCGTGTCGCATCGAGGCGGAGGAAATCCGTCGCATGACGATGGTCCTCCGCATCCGTCTCGGCGATGCGGAGTACGCGCGTATCTCGCACCTCGCGCCTCTCACCTGCGGGTGCTCGTCCGCCTGTCGGACCGCCTGCGAGGATAGAGCGGAAGCAGGTCACAACCCCAGCGGTTGCACGGATGCCCAGCGAAACGCCTGGTGCAGACTTGCGAGAATGCGAGAGAAAAGTAAAAAGATCAAGGGAGAGAAAGTGTGCGAAAAAAAAAGAAAAGAGAGGGAGAGAGAGAGAGAGAGAAAGAAAGAGAGGAAGAGAGAGAGAGAGAGAGAGAGAGAGAGAGAGAGAGAGGAGATTAATCTTCGCTATATTATATCTCTGCAAGCTATTATAACAAAACAAAATATAAAAGTACCAAGATGCAAAATTTAAAAAAATTTAATATTTTCATAAGTTTGTTTATAATTTTCGTCTTCCTTCATCCTTCATCCAAGTCTGACGCATTATATAAATATACTTTACTTTTATAAATTAAATGTATGTGAATAAAACACATATATTAAAAGATGCACCGCTAACAGGTGACCGATTTTAATTAAGCAAATTTATTATCTATATTAAAAGTAGCATTTATGAGAGATAGAGGAACGGAACCACTTTCTCTTCTCGCTTCACGTAGAAACGTCAGCTCTGCTCTCTCGTGCTGGAGCACCCGTGAGCGCGGCGCCGAGTAAAAACCCGCCACGACGACCGACGACCGTACCGTCGCATTCGTGCGCGAACGCTGACTGACGGACGCGCGGCGCGTCCGGCCTTGTCAGACCAAAGCCGATCGGTACACGGCTGGCGGCAGTGCGGCACAGTGAAACGCGCGAGCGCGGCCGCGCTCCTCCACATTGGAGCAGAGTATTGTTGTGTGCATGCATTTCCAGCTGGAGTTAAGTCATTCTGCCGGGTCGAACGCGGTGTATCTAGACATTATAAATGTTTCAAGAATATTAGGGGGATAAGAAAGTATAATACAACAAAGCATGGATTACACCTGTAATGCAACACTATAAGCACCACATTGTAATCATAGAGGTTCAGCTTTGGGGTGTGAGATAATGATATACGGAGTTCATATATGATTCGCGACTCATGACTGAAACTATCAGCGAAAACTCCACGTCTGTAGGTTGGAATTTATTTTTTATTAAACGTAAACTCTCTAAATTCTTTGGAGTGGAGTCTCACTCTAAAGAGTGAAAATTGAGCCAGTCTTGAAAAAGAATGTTGAGTTTTCAATTTAAAAGTGAGATTCATTCTTCAAAATGAGATTCACTCTCTAAAAGTTTTATGAAGGTATGAATTTTATAATGAATTCTCATTTAATTTGTTCCATTCGTGACCCGAAATGCACAACAGAAAGAACAAAAGGAGATGTCAGGACAACATTTTTATAACGACTCTTGTACGATGCGTTACCTAGATACATTTCTGCTTTTCAGTAACTTTATCACGAAATTACATATCTTATCGATAATGTATCTAAATATTTTAGCGAATGTCGACTCTGAATAGAATTTAAGAACGTAACATCTTTATCTACAGAAATGATGTATCAGTTAAGTCTGATGGACGTTATAGAACATTACTTTATCTGCAGTTGGTCAATTTGTTAGCGAGGCTATTTATTATCACATTTATTTTCATCGTTAAATAAATATAACTCTTCGATCTTCGCATATTATTTATTCCAATTAGTTTGTTTTATATTTATATATTTTCAAATTTTATTTCTAATGTTTAAAGAAATTTTGTTTTATATTCATTTTATTTATTTCAGATTTTATTTCTAATGTTTAAGAAGAAATTTCTCTCATTTAGAAAATCAAAGGTAAAAAAAAGATTAATATTTGATTTGTTGTAAAAATTTCAAATTAAAATGCTATTATTTTCTTAATATGTTAATAGTGAATATAACTTCATATATCTTAGATTATCAAAATTGAATATTAATATACAAATGTAAAGTTAACAAAAATTTTAGATGTGGTTGTTATTAAAAATAAAAATTTTTGAAATGAAGTTTAATTTAAACCGTATTCCGATTCTTTTTCAAGACGAAGTGCGATAGAAAAAAAAATAAAAATAAAAATGTATTTGACTAAATAAATGCTTTTAATTGTTATGTTAGATATACATATAATGTTAAACACGGCGATAGCAGGGACAAACAGTTCAAAAATCTACCTAAAGAATACATGCGGAGCTATTGTTAGGACGTTTACATTTTCCCAAGAGTAATTACTATCTGAAGACTTGAAAGCACCTTAAAATAGTTGTTTATTCTGTTAACTGTTAGAGCTGCATCTCAAGATAGAGCTTGTGACGACAATAATTCACGTTGCGATCGTCTATGCATTACTTTATTAAAAATAAAATAACAAGATTACTTTTTTAATCTATATTAATTAAATATTTTTATTTAATTTGTAGAATATTTATTTTTAGGTATTTCTTTTAAATTTTGTATATTTTACGTTAAAATAAAAGTTTGAAGAATCAATTGTGAAGCTATATAAAACATCATCCTTTATAACGATACGAAATTGGAACTACGCAATATCTGTTCGAATATATTCGTCAGAAAATCTTTCTTGACATGAATTTGTTTTCTTGCGATTAGGGTGAGAAATACGCGCGGAAGTCTGAAGCAATGCTTCTGCGCACGAATTCGATGCGAAGATGTATCGTCGGCTTTGCGCAGGCGGTCTTTCGAAACGGTATTTTTAGAGATGCGAGTCGGTGCCCGCTAGCAACGACGACAGCAGTCAGACAGAATCGTCGTTGACCCTCGGAGAAGCTGAAACCTCGAATTTCACGATTTTTCAATTGATCATTGGTGAGCGATTTTTTACTTGGATTCTGACTCACTGTATTCGAAAACACTCACCTGTGCGACTGTCACCTTCGTGAAAAAAACACATTTTTGTTGTTAAACGTTGTCACCTAATTTGATCTATTTAATATATCAAATCTTATTTACGCAAACCTTATTTAATCTTTCTATGGCAAATCTTTCTATGGTATGTATAAACATATTGCATACTATTATATTTGTACAATATTTGTCAAAAGATTATTTATTATATCCTCGCATCGTAATTAGAAGCGTTAAATCGACTGTATTTCTATTTTTACCCTACTAATCTAGTTCTTTTTACCCTACTTAGTCTTCAGAGAGTCGGAGTACAATTTAGATCGAACTAGTTTCTAAAAATAATAGCTGACACAATCCAAACTTTTTGTTCTTGCAATTATACACATATGCATCGTTACCCTCTAAATTTCTTGCAGTGAAATCTCATTCCAAGAAAATGAAAATACAACCATCTTCACTTCTTGATAGAGAGTGACAATTTTCACTCTTTTTAGAGTGACTTTTCACTTCAAAGGAAAGAAATATCATTTTTTTTTTTTTAGCAAAATAACGACAAAGTTTGCTACCTGAAGAAGCGATCATTTATTTCATTACTGGGAAAACGAATAACATCATGCTAACATAATAAAATTTACAAAAAAAAAAACAATCAAAAACTCTCCATACATTTTTCATGCGTAGTAAGTGAAAGGTTCAAATAATGGGAGCATCAAGTAGCAATAGTGGTCCGCCGGCTTTAATCTCTACGAGCGAACATGAGGTAGGAACTTTGTATCCGGAAGATGCTTGTCCCACGAACGATGGAAGACAAAGAATGTACGTCGGAACAAGCATTTACAAAGACAAGGATCAGTCACGATCACAAGTACGTTGTGTAAAAAAGTATGCACTCTCAAAATTTCTTACAGTGAAATCTCGCTCTGAAAAAATGAAAACACAACCACCCTTGAAAAAAAGTGACAATATCCACTCTTTTTAGAATGAAATTTCACTTTAAAGTAGTAAAACTTCCAAAAAAAGTGAGATTTCATTCTAAAAAGAAAGAAATGAAGATCATTCATCTTTTTTTAATAAAAAGTGAAATATTTTCACTTTTTTCGGGAATTGTTGTATTTTTACTCTCTTGGAGTGAGATTTTATTGCAAAGAGCGTATATATTTGAAGAGATAAATAGAAAGAGAGAAAGAAAGAGAAATTTTATGAATTTATTTGATACTTTGGCACAGGATCCAAGCCCCTACGCTACGTTGGATACTAACGAATTCTGGGATCAGAGGTCAATGGCACCCAGCCTATCGAATATACTGCCTCCTAAACGCGAAACTCTGGTAAACCATTGCTCTTCTTTCTTTTTCCTCTGTTAAATTTTTCGTTCAATATTTTTCACATTATTTCTACTAATTGTAAGAAGCGACGGACCTGGCAAATATACTTTTCAGCGATTGACATAGAGATATATAATATAATGCTACCAACTGCTATATGACTGCAGTCACGTGAACTGTTTGCTTGTATGCGATGGCAGCTAAATTAAACTCGGGCATTGCCATCGCCAAGTCGCACCTGTGTTTTACCGGAGAAAAATCGCGCGTTTTGTCTCGTGAAAGTCGGCTCCTCTGTTAGCGACAAGCTGGCTCTTCTCCAATCTGTGTTTTCGGGAGAATACGCTGACTCACAGTCACGAAAAGCACTGTCTTCACAGTCATCGGTCGCGATCACGTGCTTATTCTCAGTCGATTCGCGGGAACATTGTGTTTTATGCCAGTATACTATTGCGAATCGTCGAGAGCGGACCATTATCTTTTAAAAGCACCGGTGAAATTTTTTTCTTCCGAAAACGTAAGCCTACGTGAAATTTTAATCACGTATTAATATTTGGTAAAATAAATCTTGACGATAAGAAAAAAAAATTAAAGATTTCTTTGTTTCCTTTATCTTCTTTGTTTGAAATCGCGTGATTCATCATTGTGATGCATGTGTTGTGCTCTTCGTGCAATTAAATTTTCAAAACGTACCTTGATCGATATTGATCGAATTTTGCAAAGAAGCAATTTTTTGGGACAATTAATGATTTGACACACATTCTCAAGTTTTTAACGAATTACAATCCAAAATTACAAACTGCTTATTTATATTGCAGTTAACGTGTGCTGCGCAAATGACAGGTTGGCAGTCCGCCGATAATTACGATCACCCAATGTGTCAACAGAATAATGAAATCGTCGAGCTTTCGCGAATTATTTCGCAGCTGGCCATGGCCAATCATCAATTAGCCAGTACGCATAGTGCAACGCTAGCGCGCATGGAAACATTATATTTAGAATTGTCGAAGGATAGAGAGAACCGGAAGCAAAAGATTTCAACAG